CAGATATACCTTACATAGCTTAATAGATGGAACAAGAAAAATCTATATCATTAATGACATATAGAATTATTTTAGAATATCCACTATAAATGGTCCAAAATAGTTGAAGGGGATGTGGTTATTTTCAGAATCTCTGTAAGGAGAAATCCCTTCTATAATTGAAATAAAAATATATACATGAGCTGGCCACGTACCTAAGAGGTGGAGGCCATAAAACGAAAGAAGAAGAAGATATTTTTTGAATAATGTACTATTTGGAGATACGTTTCATCTAAACGGTTGGTTGTCTTAATAGCCATGACTTATATTAATTAAAAAATTATTATAAAATTGCATAAACTGGAAATCTTGCGGCATTCTGTGATTTGGTTTTTTTGCTGATGTTTTAATTAGATTATTTTTGTCCTTATACTAATGTTTCTTTAAATTGATACCATTTTTAATGCTACAGATCTTTTAAAGGTAAGATTATTTACTTAATTGTTTCTCATATTAGATTTATCGCTAATAACACTCTTTTAAATGAACTGATGATGCTCATTGAATAGTGGGCGAAACGTCTTCAATAAATAGATAAAGTAGCCCAACTTTTGTCTTTTTTATCTCCAAATTGACCGAAAACATCCCATTTACTTACGAGTGCACTTTTTTTTATATTAAATTAATCGGTCATACTCCTTAAAGATATATATATATATATATATATATAATATATATATATATATATATATATATATATATATATATGTATATCTATGTGGTGAATCGTCAAACGGGCCATAGGAAACTCAATGAGAAATTCTAAATTGTTGAATTCCTGCTTTCCTAATTATTTTACACCAAAAGTCATGGAAAACTATTTGTAGAGGACTTAAATATGTACCGAAAACAATTGTTTATATTGTTCTACGACTTAAACGTATCCCAAAGTTTTGCTAAAATATAATACATTTTTCAGGCCACCCCTAAAAGTCAGGCCAGACGCCGTGAAAAGAATGTGTATTACGTGTTACGTTTTGTCATATTGACGTTTCTAATATTTGACAATATTTAAATCAACTATAATATATTTATCTATGATTTAAATGGCCAAAATTTTGTGATTTATTATTTAAAAGAAAAATTAAGTTGAGTAAAAAATGTACTCAGTTAAGGAGAAAAGAGCAATAATAAAAATGTTCTATTCATGTTTTATTATAACATTTGCTATAGTTTTATGTTTACAAATTATCGTATACTTTTATTAGGAATAAAGACCACAGTAACAGTATATTGGAATTCATTGAATTGTTGTATAACTTAACATGGAATTAAAAATTAGTGTATTAGAATATCTTACGTTAAATAAAGATCCGGTAGTGACAGGAAAAGGTTCGCGCTATTGCCTGAATACAACATTATGCGATTTTTCGTCAACTGATTACATTTCATTATATTGATCGATTTGTAAACAATATAATTTATTGTTCACAAAGTAATATTGTTCAGTAGTAGTAGTATTTAGTAAAATTCATTGTTTATAATTTAATCATAAAATAAAAAAAATTGACATTTGATTAATTCAAATTGTGAAACATCTGACATCAATATGATAAAACACACACGTTATAATATATTCTTGTATTACGTGTGGCCTAACTTTTAGGGATGGTCTGAAAAATCTATTATATTTTTGGAAAATTTTTTAATTTAGAATTTAGTCCTCTACAAATAGTTTTTTATGACTTTTGATCTAAAATAATTAGGGAAGCAGCAATTCAACAATTTAAAATTTCCCATTGAGTTTCCTATGGTCCGTTTGACGATTCACCACCCGGTATATACATAAAAACAATAAAATCTTAACTGATTCTAAACTGAATAAAATATTAATTAAAATAACACATATACAATTGCAATTATATAATTCACAATATTATGAAAACATAGCGTCCGCACTCTAGAGTTTAATGCTTTGACCATGTCAGCACTCCTAAGTCCATGGCCTGAATAAACCCATAGTCGTCGCTCTATAACTTATATATATATATATATATATATATATATATATATAATGTAAAGTCGAGGACAGTAATGGGCTACTGGTAAACAACAGACAGTTGAAGGTAACCGGGAACGACCCAATACTAAGAAAGCAATAAAAAACGGGTGTCTTTTATTAAAATTCAAGTTTTCGCCACATAATTTTGGGCTTCATCAGAACTTGCTGTAATGGAAAAACATTCTTTAATTATGATGATTTAGAAAAAGTCTAAACGGTGAGATCTATTAAAATTTTTCAGTAAACCAATTATCCATATTATTAGACGTCCCACTTTGTGTACGTGAACAAATATGAACAAGGTGAACTTGACGATCAGTTTCCTAAAAGAAGGATTGAAGCGAATGGACCAGTAGCGTGGCCACTTAGATCAACAGGGATGAACAAAATGGACTAATTTTTTTGGTGTTACGCTATGAATAAAGTTTATAAAATACCTCCAACAGCATGGGATGAAATGCATTGGTAATACAAGTGACCGTTTTCAGGCATACATAAGGTATTTTTAACACCTTACGTAAATATACTTCATCTAATTTACTTACCGTTGCACGTCATACGCGTAAATGAGAAAGTAAAGAAGATTTTGAGTGTAAATTTTAAATACAGAAGATGTCCAATATACAAAAAAGATAAGTTAGTATTATATCTCCATAGTGAGACCCTCTAAAAAATGTCGTTTACGCCACTAGACCCTACCCTAATACATCTATCAAAAGTTCCAATAATGTTTTTTATAATTATTGCTCTTAAACAAAGATCCTGTCGTTTTAGGATCAATTATCGCCCTGTATCTGGCTAATGTGGGTGGCTATTGATGATTTGATTGGAAAATAGTTGGGCAAAAGGAAAAAGAATTCATGACATCTTAACGAGTTTTTTATCTTCTCCAGTTTTAGGTAACAATATACTGAAAAACAAACCAACTTGGGACACCCTTTAGAGTGGATGTACTTATACTATATAATAATCGACTCAAAATCATTTTCCGAAAGTATGTCCCTGTTTCAATCTAAATAGTGTAAATTTAAAAATATTTAGTGTACCATAATTTACCTTAGTGAATTGGATGACGCATTACAAATAAATAATGCAACACGTAGAGAGGGGGTAAGAATTTGACTCATTGACTCATTGAAATCGACATGCAACAACTTAATGCGTTCGGTTAATATCGTACGCATCAATTTTTATAGCAACCCACTAATACATCAGTCGATTAAGTTTGCAACTCCATTACAAATGTCAACGCAACTCAAGCAGTAACATTATTTAGAGAAGGTCTGAGCCAGAGGGCCGAGGCAAATGACTAATTTTAAATCAATCTGATATGTCCCGAGTGTATCGTCGGTATCAAGATACTGATGATTATATCCGTTGACAATGAAGATGCCGTAAACGAATAACAACAGAGATAAGTGATCGATTTTTTGTATCAAAATCTGGAGAAATCTATATTTGAGTGGTGTTAAACTTAAAGAATCGTTTAGGGAGGTCCAAGGTGTGGGTACCAGCGTTTGGACAGTAAGAAGGAGATTAAAGGCTAATCGTCTTTTTCGAGCCGAACATCTGGATTGGGACGACTATCAATGCAGTCAGGTATTATTCTTCGATGAAAATAGGACCTGCCTATATGGCAACGACAAGAGCGTCAAATCTATGGAAGTCCAGAAGAGCGATTTACTCAATTTTGTATACGAGAAATTGTGTCATTAAGGCAATTATTGTATGTCTTCGGCAGGCAGTTCTATGGATGAGAAAATTGAGTTGATTTTCATGATAGGTGGAGGAACATGTGGTTTCATACGCGGGATTTATTGGTGATGCCTTTATTTTAATGCACGATGCCATATTACATGAGTCACCATCTACTATCTATCTGAGATCAGTATATCTACAAAAAATTGGCCTGCGTTAAGCCCGGACATAAATCCAATAGAGCATGTTTGGGATGAGCCTTACCGAAGGATCCGGGACAGAAATCATGCTCCAAGGAGCATCAAAGAATCGAGAGCTGCGCTTAATAATGAATGGGAAGCAATGCCTCAAGAATTTATTAGAACATTCATCCGATCCATGCGAAATCCATTGAAAAGTGTAATTAGCAGTAGGGGTAGTAATATCAAATACTGAATAATTAAGGAATTCATTTTGTAATTGATGATTTCTTTGTTAATAACGTCTTTTTTGCGTTAGTTCCAATGATGAATATTTAGGAAACTCTATTTTTATTGCATATTGATTTTATAATGCCTATTCCAAATAATGCAGTTTTTATAAATTCAATAATAAAATTATTGTTTGCACATTACATTTTTTTATTTTCATACTTCTTACATTGAAACAGAAGGTGTAATCTCAAATATCGCTTTGGAGTCGATTATTTTGCATTTAAGTGTAGTTATATTCCAAATTTATGTAAATGATATTTAAGTTTTTCTTAGCCCTACACTTTAAAATCTAATTAATTTATCAAAATTAATAACCTCGCCGGATGCATTTTAACCATTTTTTTTAAATTCTATAAAGCAATAAAACTTAATAAATAAAGCAGTAAAACTGAATCAGTTGAATATTTACCATCATCATAAAAATAAATAATAAAAATAAAATCTCGCCAATTATGAAATTCATAACTGATCGAAATCAAATTTTTATCAATTTATATTTAAGTGCTTTGATTATATTAATTTATTCGCCAACATTTATATCGTATACAATATCCGAGATTTTAACATTGCGTTGTTTATAATAATTATCCATCATTCAACTATTAGTGACAACAACTGATTTGCCTAACATAATATACTGCTCTTTAGCAATCCCTTTATTGATTTTCAGAAATACCCCAACATAACACAACACGATAACATGCATATTACATCTGTACAACAAGTTGCTTTAGTAAAATTTCCAATTTCGCCCACAATAAACTAACACAGTTAGAGGTTATGTATATCTATTCACTTACCACAGCTTCCCTCTCGGCATTAATCATCAATGATGTCAAAACCATATCTGTTTTCCGATTGACAAGATCAGATATCAATCCGTTCCACTTTCCGTTTTCGTTAGTTCCCCATTTTCCGTCTTCAACCTTTACAAGTTCGTACGTGAATCCCAATTCTTCACTAAACTTTTGTAATAAATCGATACAAAAACCGGAACAGCATTGGTAATAACTTCCGTTTTTATGAGCCTGGGACATGTCGACCCTGAAAAAAATAAGAGCTATGATAAAATCAGCATAGCCATACCATAAGAAATTTATTAGAGTAACTATTTGAAATTGAATAAATGAAATATGATTTAAATAAAAAGATCTTTAAACGTTAAAAACGAGAGCTTACGTAAGTAAGAAATTTAAATATCAGTATAAGCTTTTATAAAAAAAATAAGTATCTTATAAATCGACTAATCTTATATTATTTTCTGAATGAAGAAAAATACCCAATTATATATTTTTTTAAAACACAATTCTTACAACAGGCTTAAAATAATATCTCAGATTGGAATATAAATTTATAACGGGAAAGAGATTAACAGTCTTGAAATCCATATTTGGCCCAGAAAAAATTCCAAATGCTCACGAATTTTGTACATCTGTATACAAATTGACAATATAATTTTTAAAACATTAGGCCTCTTTATAAAACTGTATCTTAATTACTTGGTTTACCCTTAAACAACGACGTGGGGGTAGTTTTGGAACCACAGGCAATTTTTTCAACCTCCAGTCGAATATTGACAACTTTTATCTCTAAAATCTCGTATAGCTGAGTTTAAGGTATTTATATAACTTCTAATATCTTCCACCAAGTTTTAATAATCACTGACATCCATCAAAACTGAATTTTGATCAGTGAGGTGCCTGGATCCACACAGTATTTTACATTATATATTTGAAAAGTATTGTTTTTTAATTTTTGGCGCTACTTAAGGCTTTTAAGTACTATTATAAACTTATGGAATGATCTAGTACACACAAGACTAGTTTTTGACTGACCTTGACATATTACTTCGGTGGCTCTATTATTAGCTGCCACTGCAGAATCTATACGTATGTGGAGCTGTGACGCTTCTCTTCCATCTCGACTTTCTTCGAAAAATATTTTGTTACTACAAAACCAAAGTCAACGGCATATGCCGTTGTTGGTTTCCTTTATGAAAAATTTTTAAATTTGGCGCTTACATTTTAAGTGGAAATTAGTAAAATAGAGACTTAGTTTGGTCTATTAAAAATCTTTACTGGATAACGGAATACCTTCTTATTCTTCTTGTTAGTCGTTAACCTGATGCAGGTATCGTGATATCATATAGCTATTAGTTTGCGGACCATATTGTTGCTACCAATGGTAGCAACAATTGGAATTGCTGAAGATTTATTGAGGTTACTTTATAATTTGATTTTATTTTTAATGGTTATAATTATTTAGAATCTTTGAGAAACTTATATTCTAATTAAAAAAATATCACAAATTACAGCTGATAAGATATTTGCGCTTTCAGTAAGGCAGAACACCGCCCCGTTACTCAATCAATGTACGGGTTTACCTCAACCATATATTTATAAATCGGTGAATACAATATGGACTCAAGAATCGATGGAATGACCAGCGCCATCGACTTATTTGACGTTATTATATATCTTTTTATCAACTTATGTCAAAAGTGTTCGAAACAAAACTAAACCACTCAACTTAGTTTACTTAACAAGATGAATATCATTTGAGATTAGATAGATCACAGCTGAGATGTTGATTTACGGTAGAAAAAACCTATTACAAAACTATTGAAATATTAGGAAGAATCTCTTACACACTGATATTAGGTATTTTTTGGTTTTCTTTAGGTTTTCATTAAATAAACAGTACCACTTATTTATTTTTGATCTTTTTTAGTGATTTCTATATTCAGATTATGTTTCTTTGGTTAATAATAACTATAAACAATAAATCAGAAAACACATAAAATTACTGAAAGAGTTACAGATAGTATAAATAAGAAAGATATAGAACATTATGCATTAGGTATGCATATACAATTATGTTTATACAAATTGTTCTGAAAACTCTACTAATTAAAATACTTATAATATAATTTACTCTTTTTAATGAGACTTACCGACATTTCATTTCATTTTTTTTGGGAGGTGAGCATCTTCAAAAGACCGTCAGGGAAGGTATCTCTGGTGTGTCGGATTCAGTCCGACATGCTGCACCGCGTGCTGAGACCGTCTATCGACTAAACTCACCCCCTCTTCCTCCAGCCGACGGGTCTGGAACCGCTCTTAGCGAGCATGTCTGACCCGTAGACCTTACTCATAGCTCCCCCTAACACCCGCAACGTGAATTCAATGAATTAGTCAGCGTCACGGACGCCCCCCGATCAGGCCCCGCACGGCAAAGCGACCGAGGACGGAAAAAAGAGCAGTAGGGATGCTCCTCAACCCAAGATGGAATCAACCATAAGATGTCGGTAGTTACGAATAACTCCAGTCGTTCATACCTTCATCTATTTACTCTTTCTCATTCACCCATCTTTTCCATCCATTCAACTCCAGTCATTCCTTACTTTCCTATAAATACACCTACTCATCCACCCATTAATTCTTACATTTAGATGGAAGAGCCTGTGTAGGTCGAATGTAAAAGGTCCTTCTCCGCTGACTGTCCCCTGACGAAACATAACACACATGAACGAAATAGACTAAAAAAAGGGTATGATAAGAAAGAGCACAGATATTATTAGAGAAGAGAGAAAGAAGAGAAAGGATGAAATGAAAGATAGAAAAGAAGCCAAAGAAAGAAGAAAGAAAAGATAGAGAAAATAAACAGGAAAAGAAGATTGAAAGAAAAATTGTACAGCGAAATAAAATAGGATAATAATAATCTACACACAGACAGCACCCTAATATGGGCTTTTTGTAATTTCAGCATTTAATTAACTTTGTACCACCGACCTGATGATGCTTTGCAAATTTTAGAAAGCGAAACCGGTCGTCTGAGGTCGCAAAATTAAATTGATTGTGAGTAAGTCTAATTATTTCTTTTTTACCTGTTTAAAATGGACTCACATAAGCAACACATTCATGATTTAAAATTGTACCTGTTTAAAATTAATTTTGTTCTTAAAACTTATAATGAAAACAATTCATATCCGCCATTATTCTACATAGAGAAATATTTTCATTATTTTAAACTTTATATTATAATAAAAATATCCGTATCGGTATTTTCCAGGTTAATAATTTTTGCGGTAATGAAGTTTTAATCCAGTTAAAAACAATGTAATCTGCTAGGTTTATATTTGACATTATATATTGTGATAAAAACGTTACATAAAATATCGGTTGGATTGTAAAATAAATATATACTACTCTCCAAAATTAACGCACCACCTAAAATGGACCATGATTTTGAAACTATATATTTTTTTTAACCCTTAATTCGATTTCGATAATTTATTTTTCACATTATAGGTATATTTCGAATTAATTACTGTAATAATGTTTTTTGAGAAATGTCAACTTTTTACCTATATACGGGGTGTAAAGATAAAGTAGTGTTTTTTTGTCTAATTCTGCAACACCCTGTAGAATGTATTAGAAACAAACGCTACATGTTAATAATATTTCAAGATTGCTTTATTCTTTCTCCATATTTTCGTAAAAAAAATCATCTCAATATCTTTATTATCAAAAAAGAAAAGTAAGTTCAAAGAATTACGTGATTTTCTACTGTCCAAAATTAACGCACTACCTCAACTCTACCATAAATTTTAAGCTATTTTGCCTTTGAATCCTTATTTGGATTTCGATGATTTTTTTTTGCACTGCAGATCTATTTCTAGGTAATTACTATATTAATGTTTTCTGGGAAATGTCAACGTTTCACCCATATAAGGGGTTTGAAAATAAATTTAATTTTTACCTTATTTTGCAACATGCTGTGGAATTTATTACAAGCAAACGTCTTATTAATATTTCGAAAAAACATTTTTTTTTCAACATTTTCGTAAAAAATTAATTGATTTCTTTATTATCAAAAAGAAAAGTACTTTCAAAGCATAACATGATTTTATCGAATTGTAATACTCATTGGAATAATGGAAGCAGTTAGTTGGCTATGAAAAATCAAACAATTTGACAGGACAGTTTTTGTCAATATTGTTCACATTTCAAAAACATTGTTTTGCTATTTTGCGTATGTTATATAGTTGACATGGACCGTATTTCAAGAAATCTAAGCCGAGATGAATGTGTTCAGGCAATTACTTTAGCTGATGTAGGGTTAAATTATCGTGAAATAGGCTTGAGGTTAGGAGTATCTCATACTACAATATCACGAGTCATTCAACGTTTTCGAGAAACAAACGACCATACGAGACGGCGTGGACAAGGAAGAGGAAGACTCACAATACCACGTCAAGATCAGTTTATCAGGCTTCGTGCTATAAGAGAACGTTTTCTCACAATAAAATATTTACAAATACAAGTGGCAGCAAATGTTCATAATATTCAAATTAGTAGAAACACAATACAAAGGCGTCTCGCTGAACAAGATCTGCATATACGAATACCAGCTTTAAACGTAAATCATCGTAGAAGTAGATTACAATTTGCCAGAGAGCACCATGACTGGAATATTAATGATTGGGAACAGTGTTGTTCACTGATAAATCAAGGTATTGCTTATATAGCTCAGATAGACGTGTGAGAGTTATTCGGAGAACGCTACGCACAGTGCAATATACGACCTACTACTTTATTCAATGGAGGATCTGTAATGCTTTGGGGAGGAATGTCTCTTACAGCGCAAACGGAACTTGTTGCTTTACGAAGAGGTTCCTTAACGAGTGAAAGGTATATTACAGACATTTTGTCTAACCATGTAGTTCCATTTGCTCCTTATGTACGAAATAATTTTCTTTTAATGCATGATAACGCTGGACCACATGTTCCACGAATATTTGGACAAGGTTGAAATACAAACCATGAACTGGCCACCCTGCACTTCTGATCTCAATCACACAGAAAGTTTGTGGAATATTATTGATAGTCAAATCAGGAGCCGACAACCACCACCTGTCTCTCTTGATGACATGGAAGTTATGGTAAGATAAGTTTGGAATGTAATTGATCAAGACCAAATACGCCGCTTGATTAAGTATGCCTCGTCGCTGTGAAGAAGTAATTAGATGTAGAGG